ACTTCGCTCCATCATCTCCGAACAGAAGGAGGAACCCAACCACAACGAACTCAAGGGGCTCTCCAGCATGAAGCTCGACCAGCTGCTGGCCAAGGCCCGCGAAGCGGGGATAGAGATACCCACAAAGCCCACTCGCGGATTGCTGATGCGGCTGATCCGGGACAGCGTCCCAGGTGCCGTTTGGCCGGTACAAGGGATACCGCTTTGGCAAGGTGCCCTCAAGCTACTTGGATTGGGCAATCACGGAGATAGCCACGAGCGACAACAGCTCCCCGGACCTGATCCGGTTGGCGCGTTGGGTCAAAGAGAACAAGTCCCAGAAGACCGAGGCCACCTCGAAATACAAGTCGCAGGGCTACAAGGACCCGGAATCGACTGCGTTGAATGCACCTCCCCCTGCGGAACTACCTCCCAAATCGGCTACCCAAGGGGGCAAGCCCTGAAGACGGGCACAAGCAGTCGCTATCCAAAGACGAAGAGCAAGACAGCCCCGTGCAAGAAGACAAGGACATTGAGCTCATCCGAGGACGAGGACTTCTCCATGATCGAGGACACCAACAACGCCCAGAAGATCGAAGTTCTGGAGAAGACGGTCAAGGCCCTCCAGGATCAGCTCGCCGCGTCAAGTCAAAAGCCTACTGGACAGCAGTGAATGAGGCCATCAAGGCCAAGAAGGCCCGAACGGGTTGTGGGGGAACTATGAACTCAGGGGTGACTGAGGAATCAACCCAAGAAACACACAATGGAAGGGACACTGCCTACGGCATCTTCAACCTATTTGGGGAAAAGAAGAACTATGAGGTCTCGTCCGAAGACATTGGGGACTTGAACGAGACCGTGGACTTGGTGCCCAAGGTGAACCTCCACTACCCGGATGACTATGAGCAGGTCAAAAGATTGCCCAGCCACAAGATGAAGCGGGTCGCCAGAAAGAGGCGAGGCAAACCTTAGGTTGTCTCATGACAACACTGCTGGCCTTCTCGGCCACGGCCTTGGAGTCGATCGACAGGACTACCGACCCAGTGAAGTCATGGGCTGAACAAAACATTTGGCCAACGGAGCTCTTCTGTGGACACGCTCAATTGACTCTTGAGTATGCCAAGGCCAAACTGAATGTCCTTGAACCACGAGACCTTCGTTTTGGGCACGACCTTTTCCAACCTGAGCAACAAGAGAAGATACTGGAGGAAGTGGACCACTTTAAGCCCGAGTTGGTTTGGATTGCACTTCCCTGTACAGTATGGGGTCCATGGACGAATATCAACTACAAGGACAGGCCACAACTACTTCGTCGACTACGAGCTCGTCAACGAAGACTGATCCGCTTCGCCGTCAAGGTGGCCCTGAGACAGATCGAACAAGGTCGCCATGTGGGATTCGAACATCCAAGAAATTCGGCTATGTGGAAGGACCCCTCCATCGCAGATCTCTTGCAAGACCCTTTATTCCATGAGGTGAAGCGGACATGTGCTGTTACGACCTCAGGGCAGTCACTGATGGTGAACTGCTCAAGAAGCCAACGACTGTCTACATCACCGACGAGGCCTACGCACAGGGGCTGGCTAGATCCTGCATTTGCGCACATGAACATGGAGCCACAGCAGGACAGAACACCAAACCAGCGGGACAGTACACTCCACAGTTCTCAAGAGCGGTTGTGAGAAGCCATTTGGCTATGAGAAAAAGGAGGCGAACTATCCTGGACGCTTTTGCGGTGGAGAGCTGTCTTCTACCTGGCCACAGAAGCGAGGGGCCACTGCGAGGACCAAGTGAAGACCTCACCGTCGTCAAGATTGACGAAGGGGCCTCAGCCATCTCGTTTCCCAGCCACGTCCCGAAGAACATAGCAAGTGCCCTGAGGAGAGTCCACCAGAATATGGGACACCCATCGAATGAGGACCTGGCACGACACCTTCGTCTTGCAGGAGCTGACTCACAAGTGGTGAAGGCTTGCCAGCAACTACAGTGTCAAACCTGCTGTCGGTCCACCTCAACGGGGGGACGAAGGCCTACTAAGGTGGTGAAACCGCTTGACTTCAACGAGGAGGTTGCCGTGGACACCATGGACCTACACACTCGCGAAGGGGCCGGGATCACGGTCCTATCCATGCTGGATGTGGGATCAGGGTTCCACCTTGTGTACCCCGTGACTGGGAAAACTGGAGGGGACTATGCAAGGGGCTTTCTACGAGCATGGATGGCTTGGGCCGGAACACCAACCACCGTACTAGTCGATCAAGAACGGGGGCTGATGAAAGACTTCCCAGCAGAATTGGAGAAACACGGCATCAACATCCAGTATACGGCCGGACAAGCACACTGGCAAAATGGGCATGTTGGACAACAAAATGAATGGTTCCGCCAGATGTTCGACCGGGTGAAAAAGCACATCTCCATGAAAGGTCACGAGACCAATTGGGTCCTCGCTGCCGTCGGGGAAGCCAAGAACTACCTAAGGAGAAGACATGGATACTCACCAGCTCAGTGGCTGTTTGGGGTAGCTCCCAAACTCGGCATTGGTTTGATTGATGGGGATGACGACGCTGCAGAACGTCAAGATCTCATCGACCCATCTGAGGAGTGGCAAAGAAGAGCAAACATAAGACAAGCAGCCCGAGAAGCCTATGTACAACTACAAGCAACTGAGCATCTCCAACGAGCACTACATGGTCGTCCCCGGGTTCTTCATGGTGATTTCCAACAAGGACAATACGTGTACATCTACCGCACCTCGAAGAAGGCTGGTGGAGCGGGGACGCTGCCTTCTATGTGCTCGAGAACACCTTAGGTTGGCGGAATCTGAAGAACTTGGAGCTGCCCTACAAGCCCGTGCCGTCAAGAGGGACCTAATGCAATTGATCGAGGGGATGGAGGTAGATGATCCTGAGGTCTTTGCCGACGCCACTGGGGACCTCGAACGCCATCTACCTGAACATTCCGAGATGGACTTTTCTCCTACTGAACCCGGCGACGAGCTTCCAGGAGATGAAGAAGGAGAAAGAACAAGGGCAAACAAACGGGAGACAGAACAAAAGCTAGTCCCAGTCAAGAGGATGAAACAAAAGGAGGACGTTCCTATGGCTCCCTCCTATGTCCCGGTCCCTGACGATGATGAGTTGCTTTGTTACATGGCCTCAAGTGATGGAAAGCAACGGACAGTACTGAAGCCAAACACTGAGGTACCAGTCGCCACCAAAATGTCCATTACATGCTTGGTCTTCCTCACGGCGCAGCAGGGTTGGTCATTGGCTGCAGGGGACATCAAGGTTGCCTCCCTCAATGAGGTTGGATGCCGAAGCGGTCTCTGCTTGGAACCATCACCCTCGACCTCGCCAAGACTATGGTGGGACAAGTCGGTCGGAACTTTAAAGAAGATCAAGATTGGGTATAAGGGTACGGTCTTGAACCTGGAACAACATCATCTGGACAGTTGTCTGTTCCTCCTCTTCAGCGAAGAGAAGGAGGTACGTGGATTACTGGCCTTCCATGCGGACAACATTATCATTTCCGCCCAGCCTGACATCCGACACAAAATGGAAGAGGCCATATCCGGCACTCTTCCCATCAACAGATGGGAGGATGCAAGCGATGGATTAGAGTATTGTGGAGTGTCCATCAAACAGTCTAGCAACGAGATCTCCTTGAGCCAAGAGCACTATGTGAACACCATGCTACACACCGTGGACATTCCCAAAAGTTGACATGGAAGGAAAAGCAGATGAGGTTTCAAAACTGGACAACCAATCCAGAGTCAGGGCACTTTCTTGGCTTGCCTCTCAGACGAGGCCCGACCTCCAAGCTGGTGTCTCGATGGCCCAAAGGAGACAAAAGAGTCCGACCTACGAAGACATCAAGGCAACCAACCAGGTGGTTCGAATGGCGCAGCAGGCCAAGGATGAAAAGATGGCCTACTCTAAACTTGGGGATCTCTCCGACCTGATCCTCCTGGTCTACCATGACGCAGCTTGGGCCAACATCCCTGAGTATGAGGAGAACCTGGACGACGCGGACCAGAAGTACTCCCAGCTTGGGCATATCACACTGATTGCCCACAAGAACATCCTCGAGGGCGAGACCGGCGAAGGACTGGTGGCATGTTGGAAGTCTCATGCATGCACCCGAGTTTGCCGAAGCACCTTCGCAGCCGAGACCATGGCCGCACTTGAGGGTTGGAGGTCCGCCATCGCTTTTAGAGATGTTCTTCTAGGCTGTTTTGGAGGGCCAAGGGACAAGATGCCCATCATCTCCCTGACCGACTGTAAGTCGCTCTATGATTCGGTCCACCGAATTGGAGGGCCAAGAGCACCTTCAGATAGACGGTTGATGGTTGATCTTGCTGCCATCCGCCAGATCATTCAGGAAGAGGAATCCACCTGGCAGCTCGAACACAAAACCATCTTCCGTAAGGCTCTGCGCTGGCTACCCACTTCCGCACAGTTGTCAGACAATCTGACTAAGGTCATTCCAAAGACTAAGGAGCGGTGGGGTCGGCTGAAGGCTTTGAAGCCGGCAGGGTCAATAGTATAGAAGACGAGTGTGAACATGTCACTCAGTTGACCCTGCCGGCCGCCGCTTTAAAGGCACAAGCGTTCGCTGTCTTGTGAAAAGGCGTGTATGCCTTGCTTGTTTACAGTTACTACTAGTAAGGCACTTGTTCCTAGTAGCTTCTTGTTACTAGTAAGGCCAGGAGCCCCTAGTAGCGTCCTTGCTCCTCGTAGCGTGGCACTTGTTACTACTAGTAAGGCACTTGTTCCTAGTAGCTTCTTGTTACTAGTAAGGCCAGGAGCCCCTAGTAGCGTCCTTGCTCCTCGTAGCGTGGCACTTGTTACTACTAGTAAGGCACTTGTTCCTAGTAGCTTCTTGTTACTACTAGTAAGGCCAGGAGCCCCTAGTAGCGTCCTTGCTCCTAGTAGCGTGGCACTTGTTACTACTAGTAAGGCACTTGTTCCTAGTAGTTTCTTGTTACTACTAGTAAGGCCAGGAGCCCCTAGTAGCGTCCTTGCTCCTAGTAGCGAGGCCAGGAGCCCCTAGTAGCTTCTTTGCTCCTAGTAGTAAGGCCAAGATTCTGCGCATGTGACTTCTCTCTCATGGCATGGCTGTATCAGGGTTGAGATTAAAGGGCTCATGCTGGGATGCTTGTGTAGTTTTGCCTGCGGCTTTGTTTTGTCCTCGGAATCCGTTGTGTATCTTCCATGACCCTTTGCCACAAGTCTGACTTCAAGTTGAGTGAACCTAAGGTGTGGTAACTGCTCTCTATGTTCGTGGACAAGAGCTCCGCAGACAAGGACCAAACACACGGCAAAAAACACTGCTGCTAGCTGCTAGCTGAGCCAGAGCTGTAGGAAGAGGTCCAAACGAAGTGCATTTTAACCATCCTCCGGGCAGACCGCTTTGCTCAATTGACAAAAGGACAATACTCACTAATTGCATTTGATTCCAAGAGTTTTTATTTACGATATTCCAGGACACGTCGAGGCTGCAATTGCGGATTGGCAAATGGCTTTGCAATTTCTCGGTAAGGTGCGCTTGCTTGTCTATTCACTCTTTCCTTACACGTCAAGCGCCGTCGCAACATCTCACAACTGTTGCAAAGTGTTTTTTGCACGACTTTGTTTGCCTGGGTGCCTTGTTGGAGGGCAATCCTGTCCAGCCCTTTGCGTCCTTGCTCCTAGTAGCGATGCCCTTTGTTACTAGTAGCCTTGGAAAATCACTGGTTTCTCTCCCTCCGAGTAGCTAAGGAGTTAGGACTGGATTTTCTGGAGTCCACCGAGTGGCCGCTCCGCTCTGCGCAGATCCTCTTTGCTTTGGCTGAGGCCAAAACGGGGAGCATGGACATAGCGCCAACCAAGTCTCGCTGTGTTTTCCGGGTCTTCGGTTCATGCGCAGGCGAAAGCCATCGTGCAAAGCTGGCCCGAGATACCTATGAGGGAGAGCAGCTTGAATTTCAGACCTTGGGACCTGGAGCGGTGAAACCTATTTGGCTTGCTAATAGCGATGGCCTCCAACCTAAAAGCGATGGCCTTGAACCCAAGAGTGATGGCTTCCAACCTACTAGCGATGGCCTCCACCTTAGTAGCGATGGCCTCCAACCTAATAGTGATGGCCTCTAATCTATTAGCCATGGCCTCCAACCGGCCTCAAACACAACAACCTAATGGCGATGGTCTCCAGCCTGATAACAATGGCCTCCAACCTAGCAGCGATGGCCTCCAGCCTATTAGGGATGGCCTCCAACCTAATAGCGATAGCGGTCGACCTGGTAGCGATGGCCTGGATGGCCTACAACCATCTACAACCTATTAGCGATGGCCTGCAACCTATCAACCTAATGGCGATGGTCTCCAACCTGATAACGATGGCCTCCAACCTAATAGCGATGGCCTCCAACCTAATAGCGATCGCCTCCACCCCAGTAGCGATGGCCTCCAACCTAAAAGCGATGGCCTTGAACCCAAGAGCGATGGCTTCCAACCTACTAGCGATGGCCTCCACCTTAGTAGCGATGGCCTCCAACCTAATAGTGATGGCCTCTAATCTATTAGCCATGGCCTCCAACCGGCCTCAAACACAACAACCTAATGGCGATGGTCTCCAGCCTGATAACAATGGCCTCCAACCTAGCAGCGATGGCCTCCAGCCTATTAGGGATGGCCTCCAACCTAATAGCGATAGCGGTCGACCTGGTAGCGATGGCCTGGATGGCCTACAACCATCTACAACCTATTAGCGATGGCCTGCAACCTATCAACCTAATGGCGATGGTCTCCAACCTGATAACGATGGCCTCCAACCTAATAGCGATGGCCTCCAACCTAATAGCGATCGCCTCCACCCCAGTAGCGATGGCCTCCAACCTAAAAGCGATGGCCTTGAACCCAAGAGCGATGGCTTCCAACCTACTAGCGATGGCCTCCACCTTAGTAGCGATGGCCTCCAACCTAATAGTGATGGCGATGGTCTCCAGCCTGATAACGATGGCCTCCAACCTAGCAGCGATGGCCTCCAACCTAATAGTGATGGCCTCCAACCTAATAGCGGTGGCCTCCAACCTAATAGTGATGGCCTCCAACCGAATAGCGACGGCCTCCAACCTAAGAGTGATGGCCTCCAACCAAATAGCGACAGCCTCCAACCTAAGAGCGATGG